CCCCAAAACCCCAAAACCCCAAAACCCCTCTTCAAATCAAGAAATTGAATTAATCAAGATTTTTAATTTGGTCCTGGTCAGTGATCTGTTTAAGATAGGATATTCTTCGCATGATCTTTTTCTTGAAATCTTTAACACTAGGCATGAATCCTTTCTAAAGATTAGCAGAAAATTACATTTGTCCAGTCGATGTTGAATGTATTGTGCTCATATGTTGGCCCAGGGGCATTCCTGTTAGCTCTTCTAAATGCTAGGGATTTTGAAGAGCGAGGCTTTGGCTGATTGGTTGTGAAGTCTGGCTCTTCTCATGAGCCTCCACGTGCTTTGTATTTCTTCCTAGCAAAATTTTCTTGATAATAATCCTTGAGGAATGAGTGCTTTAGCGGTGGCTCATAGATATTTGAGATATTATTCCGGTTTTTATGAGCTATTGAAGAAAGATTTTTCCTTACAAACCGGACATCATCCGGATCTACAAGTGAGTAAGAGTCTGAAGCTGATAAGTGGTTTTTCAGCATTCTTAATTCCTGACTTGCAAGATGAGTGTTATATCCTTTTGGGATACTTGAAGCTGTTTTTATTTGCTTCCTTTCAACTGATAGTTCATCTCTGGTCTTAATTTTGAATTGATTTTCTCGACGAATTTTGCGAAGCCTCTCTTCTTCCATATGTCTAAGTACAATGTCTGGATAAATGTTAGAGGAGGATGACTCATGAAGAAGTTGTGTCTCTTCATGCTTTCCATCAAGACCTAGTTTTGATTTAAGTTCATGGTAGTGGTGACAGAGGGCATAATTCATTTTGATGGTAATCTCATCATTTTCATCAAGTGTATCACCAGAAAAATCTATCTTGTCCCCTTCGAATTTTCGTGCATAGAAGGGTTTTCCTCCTGTAGTTTTGGAAATCGTGCTTAGTTGGTGTAACTGAACTGAAGAGTTTGGATTTCTTCTAAATCTGACTGAGATATCACGAGCATCTGTGAGCCAGAGAACTCCGTCATCATCGATGGTAAACTCAGTGGTCATCATCAAGATTTCAATGCCATGGACTTTTTGGAGGTAATAGCCGATCCTGAGACAATACTGGTATCAAAGCTGCTTTCCTTGCAACTGAGAGATGTCCTCAACTTGACTATCAATGTAGTTTATCTCTTCGTACTCTTTCAGGGGGATATTCTTGGTGTGCTTCAGGACCTCTTTTGGTTGTAACTGAGCTTCGTTGGGATTTTCATTTTCGCTATTGTCCATTTCCATATCGAATAGGAACAGAAAGGGGATTTTCTTACCAATCCCGATCTTAGATTTGACGTTTGATTGCACGAATTTGACTGAGTTCCAGTAAGGCTCGTTCTCTCTGAGAGAGAAAATGGTTATGAAGTCTTTGTTATTTAGTATTTTGATTTTATTTCCTTTTAAGCCTAATTTTTAGTTGCAAGAAATTACATAAGATGGCAGTGTCTATGTAAAATATTGATGATTCTGACATCGAATTGTTGATGTTCTGAAATTTTTCTAGAGATTATTAACCTCGGATTTACTCTTAGCCAGACCAATAGAGGTGTTTAATTTCAACTTTCTTTTAAGTATAATTGATGAAAATGTTGTTTTGATTTGATGGAGGCTGATTTTTCTAAAACTCTTCCCAGCACATCTATATTTTAGTGGTTTCACAAAGGATTACATAAGGCTTCCCTCCTTGTCAGTTTTTATCATAATTTTAGGCTTTCCTTTGTGGAAAAAGACTGTTTCAGGGAAGTTAACCCTGCAGCCTCGAATCTTATCATTGATAGGTATCAATCGCTCCATGAGCCAACTATAATCAGAGGCTTAAAATTACAGCAAGTTGAATTTATTTCCGATACTCTGTTGCAGGCTGATTGCCAGGAGTAGCTTCGGTATCTCCAGGGAGCCTCTTTACCTTGACTAATGTTTCATATCTAGAAATGTTGAGCATGTGTTTAGTCCAAATCATGAATTGGCATGTTCAAATGCACTTCTGGGTTTTAAATAACGTTGTTAATAATCATTTAGGAGTTACTTACTTCCGAAAATCTAATTCTTCTTCACAAGGCATGGAGCCAAAAGCTCCATGCTCCAGGTCAAGATTTTTCTTATCTATGAAGGAAGTTTGTTAAGCTTTCTGAAATAGTGTTTGAAGGCTTGCTTTTGCTTAAGATAAAACAGTAGAAATTATAAGGCTGGGATGGATATCAGTTATGTTTTACAAACAAGTTGGGGCACTAGAGCCTCTTGTGTGGTATTCTGGATAATAAAAGCAATTTGGCTCAAGAAGATATAGCTTACTTTCAGAAGGCTTATTTATGTTTGGCTTGCTCAGTGCAAGCAGAGCATGTTCAAGGGAAAGATGGGTCTAATGGCAAAGCTATGCCAATGTGGCCCTTCTTTCGCTTCTTTGAGTCAGGACTTCCGTCTTTAGCTCTAGCTGGTGTCTTTGGGTGATTCTAAGGGATTAGAAAATTTTACTTTGGTCTTTGGAAGATGTGTTGTTCCTGAGGATTTTGGAAGTTCTATCCTAGCGTTTTTGAGCAGTTTTTGGTTCGCTTTTCGATTTTGGGAATGGGGTGACCTGAACATTTTATTTAAATTATTTAAATTTTGATTATGCTAATGGGGTTTTGGGGTTTTGGGGTTTTGGGGTTTTGGGG